AGCTGTAACGACACCATAAAATATCACTCTAAACTGCAGGGGGGGGGAATTTTAATGGAAAGTTGCGTCCTGCGCTCCCACCGCGAGAATGGGAAAAATCACCAGCTGTTGCTACCCTCTCGCCTCGCTCCTCAAGAAACTTGGACGGGGCTTTCTCCCGGTGTGGCCTCTTCATCCGAGATCGAGCTGACCCAATTAGGAGCACAAAATTGGAGACAGCTCTTCCTCGCTCACAAAAGCCTTCTCAAAATCCTGCATGGATTACTTTATTGTGTGCCTGTGGGGCTCGGCTTATCCAAAAGATGCCCCCACCCACACCCCACTCCGGCTCTTCTCCTTGGCGCACAAAAATACAACAGGTTGCAGTTCCCTTTCATGTCACGCTAAGCCACAGCACTGGGTGTCTAAGGAAATGCACTTAGTGAAAACCATCAGGGCTGTGAGTTGCTAATGAGGCCGAAGGAAGCGGCGTTGGCTTGACTTCTTTCTCAACATCGAAGATGCTAATTTGGCTTCTTAAAAGAAGGAAATTAAACAATGTGGGAGTTGCAAATTGAAGGCAGGTTTTTTCCCCCATTCTAGTTCAAAATATTTTCTCATGTAGAAAACAGAGGGAGAGGTTGGGTGTGAGATCTCTCACGTTACATTTCTCCAGCTCCATGCGGAGTTGCCGGGTAATTCTACAAGACTTATTAGGCAGGTTTTGGCAGAAGAGCAGCCTGGTGGCCTTTCCCATATTGGACTCTCGCTGTGAATGGCTGGACCACAGCCATGTAGTTTCAAGGCAGCCGCAAGAGCGCAAACACAGCCCAAAGAATGTACACCCTGTATTTTGTGTATTTTATGCCAGACGTCCTGGGTCATCTTAGATTTGTAGGAGGAAGTTAAAGGCTCATGGAAGAAGATGCAGCAGGATCCTCCGCGATTCTGTAATGCAAAAGTGCTTGCCTGCACACTTCGAAATAGGGCCAGACATTCTAACAACCTCAAGGCGATGGGGGACATGGTGGCTAGCCGCTAAACGACAGGGCTACAACCGCAAAACAACCAGTTTTCTCTTGCTGCTACTGTTGTTTCAACAGAACCGACAACACACTCAACAAACCAACAGAAAGTAATTTGCTACAGGGAGCGGATAGGACTGCAAAAAATTCCTTCTGTGCTGTCCCCCCCCCTTTTTCCCCCCTAGGGCTGCTGGTGCAGAAGGCGGCTTTGTTAAGGCTTGAGATGCTGCACGCATGCATGCATTTGTGGATGGGTGGCGGCTTGTCAGAGCTGAAATGAAACTAGATCCTGTAATCTCGGTATTCTCTCTAGATCGTGTGTCTGCTCGTCCAGGGCAGTTCTGGAGTCACACTTCCTGAAAGCAAGCGACTTCCCTGCTACAGCTCCAGAGCCATTCTTATAAGCAGGATCTGTCTTCCCGAGACCAAAATGTACCAACAGCAGCCACCAAGAGCACACTGTTTCTCGAACTCTGTAGAAAACATTGGATCCAGAGGAGAAAGAGACGGCCTTCGTGGTAAAGAAGAGCATCAACAATGAAGAATTGGAACACGTTCAATGGGCACCATCTGGAGGAAGAAAATTCAATCTCCTCTTCTATTTCTGAGGAGCTGCTCAGCGCCTATGAAACAGGAAGAAAAAAAAAGGCCTTCCACTTCAGACGCTCTTTCTCTTTCCCATCAGAAAGCAGTAATTTAATTGTCTGGAGATGGTGCAGGAAGGAGATGAGCGCCAGAGATTAGAAGCTTCTGCGTGGAGGTGAGAAGCAGATCTCAGCAGAGCAAAAAGGCCACAGGAGGTCTGCAGTGGGACAGGAGGTTTAAAAATAAATGCAGCTATTAGGAACGTGCATTCCCCCGTCTCCACCTGCCCAGGTTTTTCAACCCTGCCCTGGAAACCGAAGGCCGGAAGCCGTCCTAAGACAAGAGCTTCAGGAGGAGAGTTGGACCAGCGCTTGGCTGGCAGTACCAAGGGGGTACCAAGAACCGCAAGGGATGGAACAGAAAACTGGAGATCATCGATGCATGGCTACTGGAAATCTTTCCTGAGATGGAAGATGAAGAAATCTTTCTTAAGATCGATGCCTGTTCGACAAGATAGTTCGGCGTCCGTCCGTTTGGCGGGGGGGATGCTGTTTTTCAAACGGGAGCCAGAAATCCCTGCAAATCTAGAGGATTTCCCTATTACATGGAAAGACATACGTTTGTAAAGCAGAAAAGAGACTCCTCTTTGCTTCCAGGATCTACCGAACGTCAGGGCTGTCAGCTGCACGTGCCGGAGGAAGGCCAGGTACGGCCCTCATTGTTATCTTGGAGGTCGCCATGAATGCTGTGAAGTGGCAAAGCCCTTCTCCTGAGACTAACCAGGTAGTGGTCCCTTTTCTCCGAACCTCAAGTCCCTTCCCCCGGAGAGGACCTGAACAAAGCTACCAGCCTGGCTTGAGCCCTGCATCAGAACATCTCTGTAAGGGGATCCGGACACAGTGCTCCAGGGCTCCATGTTTGCAAAAGCTAGGCAGACGGTGCCCCCCAAGACCAACCAAATGCTTCCCCCTCCAGTCTCTGTGGAGTCAGGAATTCCTTCCACTGCTGCTCTCCACAGGGCCAGGAGAGTGGAAGGGAACCCTGCTGCAATACGTCTGCCAATTCTATGGAGAGGAGGGCAAGCCACTGATGAAAGCAGGGGGTGGGGGGCTCAGTGGTAGGGAGGGCAACGCTGGATCGTGGCCAGAGGACATGGCTGAAAAAGTGAGGTGGGGAAAGAATATTTCCCTACGACAGTCAAAATGAAGCTCTGTTCAGAATTCGCCAGCCCTACCCAAATTTCTCCTCCTGCTCAGGCATCGCTGCCCACTCGCTAGCGTGCCTTTCAGATGACATTGTGTGGCTGAAATGTACCGGTTTTCCTGAGCCCTGGAGGCAAATATCTCTTAATTCAGAAAAGTTGAGGGACTGGCAGCTAAAGGCTGCCTGCCTCCAGGCTGATTTGCACACTACATTTTTCAATTTGAGTGTGATTCCCGGGAGGGATGAATTCAGCAAATGACTCAGTCAACCGGTCCCTGAAATTTAAATTGCAGGACCACATTCCAATGCGGTGGGGTGACTAGTTCTCCAATTTGGACACGGGAGAGCTAAACCAAAGCCCTGGGCAAGTTGCTTTCTTTCCATCCCACTCCGCCCCTCAGTGGCAGATGGCTTCACTTCAGGGCGGAAGGTCTTCGCTTGAATCCTCCGCATCTCCAGCTCAAAGAGAATCAATCACACAGGCAAGTAACCGAAAGGACCTCAGCCTGAGAACACGGATGGCTGTGGGTGCCCTTAGATCAGGGTCCTCTGATGTGCTTTGACTACAACTCCCAGAAATCCTGGCCAGCAGAGCTACGGGTGAAGGCTTCTGGGAGCTGTAGTCCAAGAACACCTGGGGACCCAAAGTTTGGGAACCACTGCCTTCGATGGACAAGTATTCTGGTCTGTACAATCAGCACGTTTCTATGTTCCAAACTGAAATGTGAGATGACACGACAAACTTCTTCTTACAAATAAAGATTATTCACAACAATGATTCCACAGTACAGCTTCTACAAAAGGTACGAACTAGAGAGAAAAGAGGGACATTCGCAGTGTTCTTTTAAAAAGCCAGGGCCAGGAGAGTCCATGATATATCCTCTGAAATCTTACGGGCCATTTTGTTATCCATTTAAGGAACCACTGCCTTCGATGGACAATCTTACGGGCCATTTTGTTATCCATTTAAAAAACTGAACACAGGGTAGTGAGGGACTTGAAGCTACATTGGGGGGAAATGACACAGGACACAAAGGACAAGCCTCAGGGCTGCCTTAGCAAAAGAGAAGAACGGACGCACTGGCCATAAATCCAGGCGTGCGCATTTTGCAGGGGTACACAATAATAAGGTCTGGTCCTTCTACCATTTAACAAAGACGTCAGCAGTGGAGCATTTTTAAAGCCTCAGGACAAAAGCATTCTTCTTGAACTGAGCTTTCATAAACACCCGACAGCTACGGTGTGAGCTGCAAGGAAAAAGGTGATGGCGATGGACGGTCCTCCTACACAAGGCTCTCCTCTGACATTGCATGGTGGAAGTGACCTTGCAAAAAGAGAGCGTAAGCCGGGGCAAGCTGTACCGGGTGGCTGAATCTCCCTGTGCAGCCTCAGAAACATGCTGCATTTTGTTCGAGAATCGGTGTGAGCGAGCAAAGCATCTGCCAGGTGACCAACTGGGCACAGCAACTGTTTTTGACAGTAATCCACGTCGTTGGAGGGAAATTTCCATGTACTGAGATTAGCTCTTCTCCTCGTCTGCTGCTGACGATTTAGTATGTTTCCTCCCTTAATGTCTTAAGGCTTAACGGTTAATCTCCAATATCGGATGGTGCCATCATTCGGGAGAATCACACTCCTGCTGAAAATTACTGGGCCAGGCAAACTAAGAGTACAGTGGTGCCTCACATTACAATGTTAATTCGTTTCAGCGAAATCGCTGTAGAACGAAAACGTTGTAAAGCGAAATTAAAAAGCCCATAGAAACGCATTAAAACCTGTTTAATGCGTTCCGATGGGCTTAAAACTCACCGTCCAACGAAGATCCTCCATAGGGCGGCCATTTGCACTGCCTGTCTTGTGAGGAATCCGTCCCTAAACACAGCAGGGAGCCATTTTATTCACCTGGCGGCCATTTTGAAACGGCCGATCAGCTGTTGGAAAAATCATCGTTTTGCGAAGAATTGGTTCCCGAAGCAGTGAACCGATCATCGCAATGCGAAATTTCCCCATAGGAAACATCGTTTTGCGATCGCAAAAAGTACATCGTAATGCTATTTCGTCGTTAAACGAAGCGATCATAATGCGAGGCACCACTGTACAGGTTTTCTCATCTGATCCTTCTCCCCAGTGCAACTCACGTGGGAAGAGGGAAACACAGACATCCCAGAATAACAGAGCCGTCACATGGAATAAGGCGGAAGCTCTTACCATCTGCAATGAAGTGCTCAGGAACGTGAAGCGTCACCTTGACAGTCAGTGGACAGGACAGCTGGCTGCCGCACACCATGGCCAGGATGCAGGAGCTCACCGCGATTAACGTGAGCGCAGTCTTGTTCACTGGGCTCTTTAGGGAGCCTGGGAAAAACAGAAGAAGGAGGGGGGGAAAAGCACAGGTGAGACACAAATAATTGCCTTTAACTCTGTGATCATCCTCGGGCAGGACCAAGGAAGGTTTACGTTCAAGCTCTCAATCACTTATCGGGGTTTTATCAGCAGGACAATAATAATAAACGGGGGCCTCCCTTCGACTTGTTGGTGGCAGGGCAGGATACTCCCCGGTGACCTCTGTTCTCTGAGTGGTCGTAGGGCAGTGATGGCGAACCTATGGCGTGCGTGCCACAACTGGCACACAGACCCCTCTCTGTGGGCACGCCAGCCATAAGTCACCAAAGAGAAATCCTTACCCGTCCTCCGATCCTGGATTTCAGCACTCGCCTCTGCTGATGCAGTGGTCCAGCAGAGGGGTGCAATGGCTATCATTACCGGTCTAGCCCAATGGGGGAACTGGAGGACCAGTAAGTACTTCTTTGTTAATACCACCCATAGGAGGGGGGGGGGAAGGAAGCATTTAACTCTTGCACTGCAGGAGCAGTTGTTTTTTTCTAAACTAAAACCTCAGTATTCGGGTTTTAATTGCAGTGTTGGCACTTTGAAACAAATAAGTTGATTTTGTGTTGCAGTTTGGGCACTCGGGCTCAAAAAGTTTCACCATCATTGCCGTAGGGTGATGCACGGTCCACAGGCATCACCCCCATAAGAGTAATAATAAACTTCTAGAAGCAGCATCTGGAGAGGTGGAAGCTGGAAGCTTAAGACTTTCTAAGCTCTTTGTGAAAACATATTATTTCTTGATTTAATCCCCACCCCCAGCCCTCCGGCACCTTTCTCCTTGAAAAGGACCCAAGACAGTTTACAGATTTAAATCTGATTACAATGGGTATACACTGGTGGGTTACATCATTAAAAGACAATATTTAAAGCTGAGGGCAATGAGTATAAAGAGGCAGCTCACATCCTATGTTTTTTTAAATGATCCTGTTCAAATATGACTGGGTTAATGTCCACACAGCCACACAACACCTCCCTACAACACACAGAGAGCCTGATAAGCCACTAAATTTCAAATCAGCTACTCAAGACCTTTATAGTTCCTGAAATAAATACGCCCTGCTGAAATATTGGGTGCTTGGTGTTCATCATTAACCATACCACAAAATGTTCACCCAAACTACTGCAGTTTAACAGCATTTTAACACCCCCATCCTCAGATTTGTAGGCTGGTAACATACTTAGAACAATCTGCATTATTCATGGGGATGCCTGAAAGCTCTAGCAGAGAAATCCTAAGTAGCAGGAGAAACTACAAATTCCAGGATTCGACAGGATGGGACCATGAGGCTGCTGTACTGTGGAGATACGGCTGGAAAACCAGTCTGAGAAGCAAGGATGTGCGGTCTGGTGGCACCAGATGTTCTCAGCTACCTTGAGAGAACATTATTAGGCATGACTGTCATTTTCCACCCAAAGTCTCTGGTAAGCTCTAAATTTGAAAGTACGCCAATTTGGTAGCCCCTGGTCTAAGGAAACCCACCCACTTACCTCTTCCATTGACCCCCTTTCTCCAAAATGTACAACCAATCCAGCACCAAACATCTTGAGGTAGGGAGCATGATCGCTAAACGAATGTATTTAAACCAAATCACCAAGCCCTTTCCTGTTATTTCTTTTCATTCAAATGGACAACGCCAGCAGAAACATAAGTTATACTACATTCTTCCGAAGGTTAAGCCCAACAGCTACCGACACAAGGATGTTTTTAAACAAAATCCACCAGAATTTTAGAGGGGGTGTCAAAGCTTAGTAAGAGCAACTGCTGCTATATAAGCAGTACTATTTTTCATTTCATTTCATGTTTTCACCCACACTTGCTGAAAGGCCGTTGTGTTCAAGAACAGCCTTTCAGCAAGTGTGGGCTAAAATATTTCTGACAGCAGAAAGACAAGTCCCAGGGAAGCCAAGTGTGATCCCAGCACAACCCCCATGCTGGAGAGGTAAGGAGGTCACACAGAGCCTTTTCTCGTTCTCTTTCTCTCTCTCTCTGGACCATCTGTCTAGTGCTATGCATGCCAAAATCCTGACACGTTCAGTAATAATTCAGAACTAGCCGCACCTTTGAGTCTACAAGGCACCAAGATTAACAACAGCTCCACAGAATAAATATCCTGGACCTTTATTAGGACAAAACTGTGCCTTAATAAAGTCGGGTTAATGAGGAAGGTGCAAGATAGACGGGCTACAGAACAAAACTGAGCAATCCCATGGCATGCCACGAAGACTGGGTGGCAAATCCAACCAGAGTCTTGATCTTTAATGGCTAAGGTGTTCATTTTGCAAATGGAAGGGAAGCAGAGGAGTGAGCTGTTGAAGTAAGTTGGGGGGGGGGTTGAAGCATCACCATTGTGCCAGAGAATCAGCTCTTCCTTTACTGTGATAATTGGGCTGATTTCTGGTGTTATAACGCAGTTGGGGCAAGAGAAATGTGCGCACAGAAACCAGGTGGGAAAGAAAGGGCTTTGAAGTCGGAACAATGGTGTCTGCAAGCTGACCTTCAGGACTGAATAGGACCATTCCTGAAACACTGGAGAGAGAACTCCCTAGAGGCTGGAAAAGGCAGACTCCACCAAATTGTGCCTCGCATTGTTAAGGCTTCGTGTTCCACCTGCGTGCGGTTACTGGAACTAGAAAGAGGAGGTGCAGACACCCTTCAGCTGACCCCAGACTCAAATCTTCCTGAAGTGGCTACCCTTGTACTCTTAATTATGGCTATTGATGGTTGATTGGACACCTTGGCTTTCAGGAATCCCTTTGACCAACAAGACTAGGGGCTTTGTATTCTTTGTGCTCTTTTCAGTGTTTATACTGCTAATGGCTAGCATTCTATTGTGTCTGCACACAGTCTGGTCTTCTATCTCTCACCCTCTCCCAACAACCCTGCCTTATTGATGTCATACGAAAACAGACCCCCCCCCAAAAAAAAAACCCTTTGATTTCCACTTGTTTAATGTCTTTATGTCCACCCGCCTCAGTGATGATGGATTCAGTACTTTCATCCCCGTAATCAGACCGACTATCAACATCGGCAGAAGATTCCCTTGCAATTAAAGAGGAAAGCAGGGATAAACCGTTGCAGCAAACGGATTAACCTGACGCAGGCAGCTTTCGCTTCAACTCAAACCTTTGCCTTACTCAAGAAAAGTGCTATATAAACCTCCAGAAAGGGGGTGGGGCCGCCTCTCCGTTGGGAAAACCCGTGCAATTTCACAGGTACAGCCATAAGCCGATGAATCTTACGCCGATGGCATGGGATAAACTCTCAGAAAAGCACCTTTCCCTGCCGTGCTAATGTAATCTTTCATTTCTTCCCCCACTGTTTTAGGATGATTGTGCAGAGGCCCCATAGTTGGCCCGCATTGCTGAAACTCAGACCAAGTTCTCAGACCGAGGAGCATTCTCCTACGGCTGACTCTATCAGCCCACGTGCAAACACCACGTCTTATGGTTATAATGCAAGTTTTCCCCCTTGAAGATGAAAAACAAGGCAATATTTTATGCTGTACACTAGGTGCTCAGTCACGTCTTATGGTTATAATGCAAGTTTTTCCCCCTTGAAGATGAAAAACAAGCAAGCCAATATTTTATGCTGTACACTAGGTGCTCATCTAACCTAGTGGTTGGTTCCCCACCTTGGACCCCAGATGTTCTCAGACTGCAACTCCCAGAAGCCTTGACCAGCGCAGCTAGTGGTGAAGGCTTCTGGGAGTTATAGTTCAAGGTTGGGAAACATTGATCTAAGGGTGGCTTTGCTCTAAGGATCACTACAACCATACAGAAAAGGGGTTTGGAGAAGCAAGTTATTTTTAAGCAGGAAGATCAGTCCAGGACCTTCTACCGTGGCAAAACAGACTTCCTCCATTCCAGCCACAAAACAAATGCCTGCCTGCCTCCCTAGTTGCTTGAAGCTCTGTCTCCTGAACTGCTACCTGCGTTGGCTCCTGAGTAGAACCCATAAACAACCCATGTGTTGTATAAGACCAAAAAGCTTTCCCACTTGTATCCTGCAGCGGCTGACGCGCAGGCCCTACTGCCTCTGGTGCTGGAAATAAGATATACTTGCGATGACTCATCCTCACCCTTATGTGCTGTCGTCAATTCTGTGTTGCGGCAACCCTTTTTTCCTAGGGTTTGCCCTGCCCGAGAGTGCGCAGAAGTGGTTTAGCGTTCCCATTTCTGGGGACTGTGCAGCTCGCCCAAGGCCACACAGGCTGGTTCTTCTGGAACACACAGTGGGGAACTGAATTCCAAATCTTAAACTCTGTCGCCAGACACCTAACTCACTAAGCTATCTTGCCACTCCGGATACAAGTGGATAGCATAATGGACTAAGACTCAAGAGACCTCGGTTGGATTTCCTGGCTCCAGGGGGAAGGGGATGAAACTGGTTAAAAAAAACACTCCTTAAACACCTTGCTTACCTTGAAAACTCTGACAGAGTCACTGTGATGATGAACAGCCACTCACAGCTTTGTTATCATCTGCTTTTTAAGCAAATATCTCCTGACCGTCATTTTTGATGCTTTCTTTAGACAGTTCAAGCCATTTGCAGCACGGGCGTTATGCACGACAACGATGCACCGAAACAATCACCAGGAGATGAAGGGCTTAAATGTGAGCCCTTTCGAAAAAACACTGGGGGCAGAGGGATGCTTTACGAGCCGATAGGAACGAAACCAAGTGTGACAGATATCCGAGGGCATCCGTATTTATTTTAAAGACGTGAAACTCGCAGGAATTCAGTTCTTATCCCAGAGGCTTAAAAACTAGCAGGGAGTGGGCCAAAGCAGGAGATGGGACCAGCATTAGTGGATTTGTTGAAGCCTCCGGTGAGGAGCAGTGTTTTGCGTCTCTGAGGTCAGGTGCCAGAAAAACATCTGGACAGGAGTTTGCAAACACAGCAGAATTTAAATGGACGGGAAAAGTTAATACCTTCAGGCTATGCTTGTATTAGGGAAGCAACA